CGCCGCCGCCCTTGCGTCACCCCGGGAGCTCCCGGGCCTGGCCCCGCCCCCGCTCTGCCCCGCCCCGGAATCTGAATAGCCCCCGCCGCCACCTCCCTCCGCTGCCCGCACGGGCTGCCCCCATGCTCGATCCCGGGCGGGAGGGGCGAGAGCGGCCCCTGAGGGACGCGGAGGAAGAAGGGGGGGTGTCGAGCGCGCGTTATGCAGGTTGCGGGGCGCCCCGCGGAGGGCGGCGGGGAGAGGCCAGCTTCTCCGCGGCCCCGGAACGAGCATAGGAGGGAGGTGGGGCCGTAGGGGGCAGCGCCCGTGGGGAGGAGGATCCCCCCGCCATCACCGCCGCCGGCGGACGAGGTGCCGTTAGTGCCCCGGTGGGACCGTTACTCACCCCCCCTCCGGGGATTACCGTTACAGCCGGGCGGGGGGGGGGGGGGGGGGGGGGGGGCTGGAAACGGCTCCTTCCCCCTCCACAGCCTTTTACACCGGGCTCGCTGAAGCTCTGAGTCCCTCTAATCGACAAATTAAGAAATAACCTTCCTCCGGGCCTTTCCAGGCACCCTCAGGCCCCGGAGGAAAGGCGCTGTCTGTCCCAAGGCCTCCCTCAGCGGGAGTGGTGTCTCTCACGGTGGGCTGTGGTGTCCCCGGCCTTGGCAGTCGGTGGGGGTTTGGCCCCGGGGTTTGTCTGCTGTGGCCCTCGGTGGGGTTTTGGCCCAGGGGTTTGTCTGCTGTGGCCCTCGCAGACCTGCTGCTGGTGGGGCACCAGCACAGGAGCCTCCCCAGAAGTACCTTGGGGTAGTCTCCTCGCCTGGATGTGAGAAGATCCCTTCAGTCTTGAGCTAGGGCATGGCTAAGAGTTACCGTACAGTCACAGAATGGTTTGGGTTGGAAGGGACCTTAAAAGATCATGGAGTTCCAACCCCCTTGCCTTGGGCAGGGACATCTCTCAGTAGACCAGGTTGCTCAAAGCCCCATCCAGCCTGGCCTTGTTAATCCTGGCATTCTGGCTTGTATTAGAAATAACCGTGACCAGCAGAAGTAGGGAGGTGATTGTGCCCCTGTACTCAGCACTGGTGAGGCCACACCTTGAGTATTGTGTCCAGTTTTGGGCACCTCAATACAAGAGAGATATGGAGATGCTGGAGCGAGTGCAGAGGAGGGCAACAAAACTAGTGAAGGGCCTGGAGAACAAATCATATGAAGAACAGCTGAAAGAGCTGGGACTGTTTAGTATGAGGAAGAGGAGGCTGAGGGGAGACCTCATCACTCTCTACAACTTCGTGAAAGGACACTGTAGAGAGGTTGGTGCTGGTCTCTTCTCCAAGGTAATTAATGACAGAACGAGAGGGAACGGCTTCAAGCTCCAACAGGGTAGGTTTAGATTGAACATTAGGAAAGAATTTTTCACCGAAAGAGTGATAGGGCATTGGAACAGGCTGCCCAGGGAGGTGGTGGAGTCACCATCCCTGGATGTGTTTAAGGGACGTTTAGATGCGGTACTGAGGAATATGGTGTAGGGGAGGACTTTGTGGAGTAGGGTAGATGGTTGGACTCGATGATCCCAAGGGTCTCTTCCAACCTGAACGATTCTATGATTCTATGATCCACAGCACTGAAACCAATCTGCCAGGCAAGGAGGCCTGATGCAGGTTACAGGTCGATAGGGAGCTGGCCCAGGTTGCATTGTATACAAATGGGCAAGCTGAGATTCGTGATTTCAGTTAATTGCCCTGTGGACATGGGTTAATGGTGATGTACACAGTAACCACCCATTGGAAGACGCAGCAGCAATATGGGATGACAAGAAGATTCATAGCCCAAGGGAACTGTTGCCCTGACAAAGCCTGGGCTTCAGAAACAGTTTTGCTTCCTCGTGATGTACAGAGGAACCAGAAAGAGGGGAGCAGGATTCTCCCACCCCCTTAAATCGCTTCATATACACAAAAGTCTCTGTCAGCTTAGAGTGGAAGAACTACAAACAAACCATGGTTGGCTTGTACCAGCCAAGAGTTTAAAACCGAGTGAAGCCCTAATGATGCTGAGTTCGAAGGTGTCTAGAATGCTGTGGACAAAATGCTTGGCCCCCTCGTCCTTCCTTTGGTGCTCCTATGATTTTACCACTGCAATTATTTTGAAGGGAGAGAATCCTTTCCAAGAGCAGGGAGTTGTCAAGGCTGTGCCCAACCTTCAAGAAAGCGTGTGCCGTAGTGGGTGGGAATGAACAGGTCACCTTCCGTTGGACATGTTTGTTTTTTTAAGTCTCTATGTATGGATTCACAGATACAAACCCTGAGGTGAACTCAGAGATAGCTGTGTAAGAGCAGACCACTATACCCGTAGTTATTTCTTTTCCATATAATTTTGCCCACTCTATAAAGGTTGTGCTGTTTCAGGTGGATCATGACAGTTTGTGGGAGGTTTTATATAAGCACAGGAGTAAGGTCATCTGGATTTTGCTCATCTCCTGCCATGCTTTAAGCCTGTGCTCTTCCGAAGTTGTGTCCTGTGAACTGCTTCAGTTTTTTTAAGAACTCAGCCTTATGATTAGTTTGTTCCCATCTTCAGAATTAAAGTTAATAAATGCCTTAACGGTGCAGTTCAGTTCTTGATCAACCACTTCAATAGCGTAGTTTTTAGTTTGAACATTAAGAGTGCTGGAGAACTGTGAAGTGATCAAGTGCATGCAGTGCAGGAACTCGTTAATGCTCAGATGCACTTAGCTCCATAATCAGGCAGGTTGTTTTTTGCCAGGCCTCTGCTGGAGGCGGGCAGCAGCCTTCCTGCTCTCCCTCTCTCTCACCCCCCAGTCCTTTCACTTCGGTAAGTACACACGCTGCACAAGGCAAAGTATTTATAGTGCCATCTAGCTAAATTCGTGGCTGACACTTCCTTTCGTTCCTTTTATAAAATCCTGGGAAATTCTAGCAGCAGAAATGAGAAGTAAAAAAGCAGACCCGCTTCACAGTTGAGCAGCCAATGGGCAGGGAATGCCACAGCTGATTATTTTGTGGAAAAGCGAGGAATGGGGCTTGTGAGAAATAAAACAGAACACGTGCTATTTTTTAAATTTTGTTTCATTTATTTGGCAGTAATATCCAAACCCCTCTGCTTCAAAAAATTACAAAATCAAGTAAAATAAGTGCACTAAGGAAACCTACAGAATACTGATAAATTTCACACACGTACAGGAGGGAATATAGAGGGAGAAGTGGGACTTTTTTGTTTGTTGCTTAAATTTGGCTTTTCGGGGAGAAAAAAAAAAAAAAAAAGCCTTCCCTGCCCCTTGCAGTCTGTACAGCAATTGTCCCAGAGGGCAACAGCTGGAATTCAGCACCTCCTTCCCCAGCAGCCAAGACACCCTGTAGAAGCCTGCTGTGGGGTGTGCAGTCTGGGCATGGCTCACCGAGCGGCCACCCTTCCCCTCGGTGTGGGGAGGCCAGATGTTTCAGTCCCCTTTGGGTACCATAGCCCTTAGAACCAGCATCACCCTCCACAGTTGCGTGGCACCCCTTTCCATGGAGGCATGTTCACCCCACTCCTACCCCGCTGCTGCAGGGTGTCCTAGGAGATGTCCTATGGCTTGTCGGAGAGCTCAGCTTGCCTTGCCTGAGATGGCAGCCCATCCCTCTGCCTTCTGTGCAAGCACCAGCTCTGTAAACCTCAACTGCCAGCACCCACCTCTCCAGCTGTCCCCAGCAGCCATCCTTGCAGACCTCACGTCCACAGGAGACAGGAAGGGGACAGGAGAACGTATCGCATAACGCAGCCTACAGAAGACCTTCAGCCGTGGATTGGCCTCCCCTTCCTGCACAGGCTCTGGTTCTCCCAGTTGGAGATTCTCCTGACTGGACACTAAGATGTTATCCCCATCCAGGGAAAGCCTTTAAGGCAAGCTGTTGTGTTTTCTCTAAGGCACTTTAATGATCCAAGCTGGAAGGAAGTGAGCTGGGAGGCACGAACTACCTTTCAGAGCAGGGTCGGGATAAAGCAAGACATTTACTAACAATGTTCCTGTGACTCCAGATCCAGCACACAACACTGTTCTGCTCATACTGTTGGGGACGGGGGAGGGTACGGTTAACAGGTACTCCTGTTCCACCAACCACTTACTCCAGTGCCACCAGAACACAAAGAATGACTCCATCCCAGTGTAGCATTGTCCTCATTTCCCTCACCTTCACGTGCGACAGCTTCTCAAAGCCAGACCTTCATGGGAAAAGAACCAGCCTCCTTCTGTATTTATTATGCCAAAGCCTCCAAGCATGGTGGGGTAGATTATGATTTTCAGTGGAAACATGGCACTGTGCCAAAATCAATGCAAGTCCTCTGGGTTCACATCAGGAAAACAGCTCAAAGACCAGCCAGCCTTTAACAGATCTGGCCCATGGGCAAGACTCCAGGAAGGACCAAGCTTTATTCTTTCCCTACTCTTGCTAGGTACCAGCTCATTCTTCTGCTCCAAGGAAAGCACTGTGCAGAAAGAGGAAGGTTGGGACAAAAGTCCTGCTGATCTTCACTCAAGCAGAATATGCTTTTGCAGATTTCACTTGAGTAAGCACTAGGGACTGCAAGACACCTGGAAACAACTGCTGAAGTTGCTCACAAACAGGAAGATGGAAATCACAAGCAGCCATCTCAACTCACAGTGCATCCAACTGCTTCGGATGCACAGCAGAGGCACGAAGGGAACACAGAAACAGGACATTCAGGTGTGTTGAGTGAATAAAATACATTTGACAACCACAGGAGGAAATCAGCTGGGCTTGAGGCTACAGAGATGATTGTCAACAAAAGAGCATTTCATTTCTATTGAGGACCAATGCTCTGAGAAACAGGTCAGACAAAAACGACCCATGAAGGGGGATGTGAGAATGGTCAAAGATGGTCTGATCAAAGACACTGTGAAACAGGCCAGTAATGAGGCTTCCAGCCCTGACTCCAAACTCAGCCCTGGAATCAAAGAATAATGCTGCTGCCTCACCCCAGAGGGAGATGGAAAGCCCAAGATGGTGGCTAACAGCCCAGACTCCAACTAAACTCCTCTTCCAAAGAGTTAAGCCTTTTAAAATCCCCTACTAGTGGGACTGCCTGGTTCTCTGTCTCTAGACTACTTGGCACTTCCCTCTGGGTGATTTAGAGAGGCATGAGCCCAGACTTTGAGCACATGGTCAATGCTAGGTAAGGGAGCAAGAGCTAGAGAGAACTGCAGTGTCAATCTGTGCCTGGTGAAACTAATTACATCCAGCCCTGCCTCTTCTTCCTATGAGGGACATTGCCATCCCCCATTGAGAAATACCCTGTAGTGCAGGACTCACAAGTTGCTTGTGGTGTTTGTGGTGGCTGAGCGCAGTGCGGTACAAACTGTGCATGGGCATTACAGCACTGTCAGTAACAAAAACCCATGGGCTGGGTTTTCTTGAAAGATCTAGAGCTACAAAACATACAAAAGCTGAATTACTACCATAGGAAATAAAAGTATTAAAAAAAACAACAAAACAAAACAAAAGGGGGAGTCAGCATGTGAATGTGATAAGGAAAAAATATGATAGCACCTCTAAGGAAGGGGCAGGGAGAGTAAGAGTGAGATGAGGTCAAAAGGAACCATGTTGTGTTGGAGCCCACAATGTACTGGAGGAGCTGCTGGGGACAGTCCAGTGGAAAGCAAGGAGGAATGTGCCGGCCTCATGCCAGCAGCATGGCACCACGACTTCCAGGTGTCACACCAGGCTGACCAGCTTTGAGGAGCTCGACCCAAAGGGGAGGGTAAGCAGGGCAAGGTCTTTGGCTAATGACGCCCTGCAGCACACGTGCTCAGCCACAAAACTGCTGGGCCTGTATTTCTGCAGCCATGGCCGGTGCTGACAATTTTATCAATTGAAGACCCCTTTTTCTCTCCAGCACTGACCTCCATCCTTTCCCCAAGATCCAGGGGAACAAGAAATCCCTGTTAACTCTTGGAGAGAGCAGCTGTCTGCTCTGGGAAAGGGTCCCAGAGGCTGCTCTAAGTCCCTCCCAGCCTTCCAAGGCCCCAGCAATGAAGCTCCCTGAACAGGTGGGCTCTGCTCCCCTTTCCTGGCCCCATTCTCTGTGTATTACAAAACAAATAACCCATCGCTATACAATGTAAATATCTGTGACTGGGCAACTGTAGCAGACACTTGTGCATACTGAGATCAGCACTGGAGGACAGGGTGGCAGGTTGCGCCCATCCTCCTGGGCTCCTCCGGTGTGGAGGCCCCTTACATCTCCTTGGTGCTCATTCTCTTGGTCTTCTCAGCCGTCTCCTAGAGAAAGAGGACACAAAAGTGAACCTCTGCACTGACAAAGGAATGAGCACTGCCCTGAAGCCTTTGGTTCACCCACAAGCAGTGCCAACACTGGCTTATATCTCAAAGCCCCACACCTTTATTTGTCCTTGCAGGCAACAGGGATCCCCCTTTCACTGTGCTACCTCTTCTACCAGAAGTCTCCAAGTCACAGAAGCAGAGGAAACTCCTCTGGCCAGGAAAGACTTAGTGCAAGCAGACCTGCCCAGCCTCATGCTAACCTGATGCTTCTGCAGTTCCTGAACGTATCTAGCCAGCTCCTCCTCAGTCAAGTCTTGATCAGGTCGCTGTCTCTGAGCAGGCACCTTCTCATTCTTCCCTGCAAACAGAAATGGAGTCCAGCATTATCACAAATGGGGAATACAAATTTCAGAGGCTGAACCACACAGAACAAAAAGAGGCAGGTCGGCCACAGCATGCCTCAGCTTAGGAACACTTTGCTGGATGAAGGGTTGGCTTCTTAGAAAGAAAACGGGCCTTGTGGCTGCCTGGGACTTCAGAACCCAGGCACCCAGTTCGTCCCCATCTCTCCCTCCCACATGATAAAAAATAAAACTACAAGGAAGAGGCTGCCTATTCTTTAAAAGAAACACCTATAATTAGTTCAAACTTCTTGGCCTCTTGTAGTGAATAAATGGAAGCTCAAGTACAATAAGTGATGCCTAAGGAAGAGGTAATTTCACCAAGTGGAGATGCAACTTGCTGATGTACCTGATTTAATTCTCTGGTTTCATTACTCCTCTAACAATAGCCTCTAACCCCTCTGCTACTCTGACACGGACAGAAAGTGAAGGAATTGCTGTCCCATTGCATGCTTCTGCCACGGATGCAGGGAACAAAACAGGCAGCAAAACCAGGTGTTGCATAGCAACTTTGAAATTTGTTTCTGGAGAGGCAGCAAAAAGTCTCTCATTGGGCTGCTCAACCTCTGACACCTCCTCACAGCTCCTCTGGCAGCTCTATTAGTATTACAGTTATCTTTTCTGAGGTGACTTCCTGCTGCCACAGCCAAGCCTGAGCTGAGGTGACCCCGAAGCCTGTGCTGCAGATGGCCAGATAAACATTAAAGAAATTCTATACGTACTTGTTGCTCTTCCCCTCTCTCCTATTCTGCCCAAGCTACTGGCTACAGACCTGAACTAACGTACAGCCCTCACACAGCACTGAAAACAAAGCTCAAGCAAAGGCCTGCTTTCTGGGGAAGGTGGCCAGAAAAACGCAGTGCAGTGCTGGGAGGGGGACATGGCTCCTTGAAAAGGACCCATACATTTCTCAAGGCAGGGGAAAGCTGGAAACGGAGAGCCTGTGTTCACAACCCCGCTGTGACTTCTCACAATTGTAACATGGCTGTGAAAGCTTAGAAAGGGCCTTCCAGAGGAAGAACAGACCAACAACCCTGCCTTACTATGAATACCACCTCCCTTCATCTCCATCACCATTATTTTCTTCTCCTTCTACAGCTTTTATGGCAAGAAGCTAAAGTGCTTCCTTGGCATTACTGGACGAAGTCTTCTATCTCCTCTCTGGGGCAAGACAGGACCTTATCTCCTGTTGAACAGATACTGTGACTACAGATAGAGCGAGGATACTGATGGACGTACAGGAAAGCTGAGATGCTCACACCTACGTGTAAGGCTGCAGACAGTGACCTCTTTAGTCTGTGAACGCCCCAAACCAGCTGGATGCAGAGTAGCTCTGGTCTGGAAGGTTTGGTGCTGAATTCTCATTACACCAAATCCAAACTACAAACCCCAGCTGCATTGCCCCCAACTCAGTCACACCCTTTCTGACCTCTAGAACAGAACCAGCTTGGGTTTGGCCAACATGGAGAATCACAGAATCTTCTAGGTTGGAAGAGACCTTAAAGATCATCTTGTCCAACCGTCAACCTAACTGACAAAAATAGACACCCACACAACAAACAAGAAGCATCACCATCACTAAACCATACCTCCCAGCACTACATCAACCTGTCTTTTGAACACCTCCAGGGATGGTGCCTCAACCACCTCCCTGGGCAGCCCATTCCAATGTCTGAATCAGAGGGTGAGGCAGAAATAACCCATAGAGAAGCGGAGCAAAAGCTGGAGAGAAACGTAATCTGGACAGCTGCTGCCCTCAGAAAGACAGGAAGCAAAAGTCCCTTTTGTACACAATCAAATTAAAAAAAAAAATTGTCTGGAGAGCATACAGACCCTCGCACGTCATTGCAGTGCACACCCAGTTGCCACAGGCACAGACGCAGCGGTTGCACTCCACCTGGGTCTCTGCTCCATCCTCGTAGGTTTCATCTTCCAGGGCACACTCTAGGGAGGCACAAAAAAATGGGCAGTGGTTGTGAGAGTGCAAACAGGCTAAAGACAACATACTTTGGAGATGCCCCAAGAGAGAAGAGGTACAAGGTTTTGGTTGGAGGTCTTCTTTCCACTAACCACCAAAAGATTCATAATAACTAAAATATTCATGCTGAATTTGATGCGTAAAATCAGGCAAAAAATAATATGGGAAAGCCAAACACTTCACTTTGCTTCTTCAAAAGAACGCATTTCAATTTCTCAATTCCAAATGAAATCTCAATAGTGGATTTGTTTGAATTTCCCAATCTGTTATACATAGAAGCCACCAAGTGAAAGTTTTGGTTACTCTGAAACAATTCCTGTTTCAGGTGGGGAGAAGTTGGGGAAATGATATGTGCGTTTGCTGTTCCCCTGAGAAAAGAAGGGAAGGGACAAAAAAAAAAAGATGTCTCATTTCAGCTCACATTTCTTCTCACAACTCAATTACATATTTAAGTTGAGGCCCCCAAAGCATTCAAGGCCCCATATGGTGTTAAGTGAAAACCAGTTGATCACATTTTCAAGGGGAGGTGCAGCATCCCCAGCTTCCCACTGAAACAAGCAACAGAGAGTTCAACTTAGTATTCCCTGAGAAGCACAGCCTCTGTCTGCTCCTCTGTGCCATCGCAGCGGGATGGAAATCCGGCACCTTTGGACTGGCACCCCCCGAGGAGACAATTAGATGAATGGCCAAGCAAGCCAGGTCAGCAGAGCAGTAAGCTGCTTCCACGTGAACTGTAGCACGAAGCAGGATTTGGAAGGATAGTGAACTTTGAGAAGTTCAGCAGGGAGGGTCTCTGTGTGAAAGGCAGAGCATAGCAGGACTTTGGTCTGGTCTAACTTTCCCAAGTTATCCAGAAGTGAACTCCTCACATGATTTATCTCCACACTGTTAAATATATGCCTTGACCTTCCAACATACCATATCCATCCGACCCATGCCCTTGCTTCTAAAATCCAAACCTTTTTCATCACAAGAGCTGTGGGAGCTCTGGGATAGAAAAAAAGAGTACTTTTGACAATAGGGGGACAAGGGGTGATGCTGGATGGCAGACAAGCATTTATCAACATTATCTCGGGGAGTGGAGTTACAACATCTGATGTCTGGCCCAAAGCTGGTGTCTTTTCTTTCCTCCCTTCCCAGAACCCGTCTGGTTCCCCAGTAAAAGTGAAGAGCTCCTACTTTTCTCTGGTGGGTTGAAGGATGGGCTGAGGCACTTGAGAAATTCATTGAAGCTGAGCTTCCAGTCAGCATTTTCATCTGACAGCTCGATGAGGGCATCTACGCAGAGTCCCCTGAAAGGAAACAGAGAGGCATAGTTCTGCACAGGGCTGTACCAGGCTGGTCCCCACCCTACTGGCTTCAGAGTACAGACAAGTAAAACCAGTAACAACTAGGAAGGCTCTGAGTAAAACCAGTAATAACTAGGAAGTGGTTTCTGTAAGGAAACTCACTGAATGCAAACAAAAGAAAAACAGGCACAAAATACTCCATGTCTGGCAAAGGGTTGGGAAGTGGGGGGATATTCAGAAGAAGAGCAGGAACAGGACCCTGTTTCCAGGGTCTACATGCTGTCACACATGTAAAGATGCAAGCACAGCTTAACAACAAGCAGCCTGTTCTCCTCATCGTCTCCTGCACAGTGACACACACACAGAAAAAGGGAAACCTTTCAAATTACATTTTCATGCAATGCTTGTACCAGATCTAACTGCGGGCTCCCCGTGGGCTGTGTCTTCCCACCATATTCCTTGCACTGGATCTAGCTTTCAGGCAAAAGGTGAGTAAGGTCCACTGGAAGCCAATTTGTTAGGAAATAAAAAAAGAAGACACATTTTCTGTCACCCAACTCACCTTTTGCCTGCACACCTACTAGATTTAAGTCAAAAGAGGGTTGGAATACCTGCCTAACATGAAGGGTAGAGGTGGCACTCTTCCATTTGGTGGTGTTCACACCTAATTAAGTGAGAAGCCACTTCATACACAGCTATCTTTGTTAGAGCAAGCCCTAACTGGTATTTTCCACGAGTGGATTTTCACGCCCCCTTCTCTGTTCACTCTCCTGTTCACTGCCCACCTGAGCAGCTTGTTGGTCTCCTGGTCCATGTAGGTGGTGATGTTGACAGCAGTCTCATTCTGCTCTACAAACTTCAGGAATTCAGTGGAGTCCAAGCGAGAATCGCCATCGTCAAAGCTCTGTAGGGAAAGATGGGCAGATGTGAGAGGGACTGATTTATCAGTTCAGGGTACCCTTTCCTTCTCCCTCTTCCACAGCTACTTAACATTTCTGAAGCTTTCGTGAAACAGGTTGCATCATCCCTGCTTTGCACAAGGAACAGAAGCTCAGAGGAAAGCAGCAACATATCCACACTAGCATCAGAACTGGCAAACAGGATCCTACCCTTGTTCTCACCGATAAGCTACACTGCCTCTCATTCACCTCCTGCTGCTTGATTTATGGCTCTAACCCCGTTTCTTCTCTTTGTTCCAGCCAGCTCTTAGCCTTCTTATATACCTCCTGCCTTAAAGCAAACCAGTTGCATTCAAGGAGGTGTCAGTTTTCCAATACGTGTAAGTCGAAAGCTGTGCCTGGACTGTGACAGTGACAAAAGGGAAAATCACAGGAAGCAATTTTCTCCTGATCCCAAAGAAAGAACAATTTAATGCAACAGCACAACCCCTTGCCACCAACTTCTTAAGGTCCTGACAGGACTCCTGGCATTGAAGAGCAGGATTTTTAGCCCCGAAATCCTGGCTGTACTCCCAAAGAAGTAATTGCATTTTGCCTTCCTGTTTGGAGATGTCATATCACAGTGCTGGGAACTCAGCAGGAACTGCTGGGCCTCCTCAGAGACAGCTGCATTGCAGGGAGGGGAAAATGAATTCTGCAGGCAGACCGCTGCTGGCTGACTTCTGCTGTGTGACTCGGGGCAGGTCTCCTCGTGCACTGCTTCCAGGAATGCTGGAAGAGACACTGCCTGCTGTTACCTCTATGTGGTTCAGGAGAAACCTGTAGGGCTAGGAAAATGACTCTGCAGGCTGTAGCCTGTGCATAACTGCTCCACTAACGTGTTTCAACTTCTACAAGACTTGGAAGCCTCTTGTCCCACTATTTTTTTGTGGAAGTGGCCACAGTTCCCTTTAACGACCCGGACTCAATTTAGCCAGTTTTCTTGCCTTTCAGTGCTATGCTCTGCATTTATGTGTTCCCCCAGAGACTCTCCAAAACAAGGCAGCTCCCCGCTACAGGCCTCACTCACTCCTCTTGAAATAACACCCTTCAAGGTCATGGCCTGTTTGCCAGACAACCCACACCCCAGTGATCCATCCAAGTCAGGCTCCCAGGAGTTAAACTGCTGAACGCCACATCTACAGACCTCTTCATCAAGGAAAAATGGGAAATGCTTCATCTCATCTCCAGTGTTTACTACCTGCAAGGCAGGAATCAGGACAGCTGAAGGGAGGGAGCGCAGAGCCCCAGGGCTGGGCACTGCAGAATTCCTCCATCGACAGCAGATCCTCATTTGTGTGTGCCTGAACTCACTTAGTTTGCTTTGCCTGGATTTGTCCCAGGGTGCTCCAAGCTTTGAATTCCGCTTTAAAAGTCTTTCAAAGCTTTAGGAGTTGTTGATACGGTGGATTACCACCCGTCAGAGGAGGAAATTCCCCTTTTGGTCTGAGAAAAGGTATGGCTTTGTCACAGAAACATTCACTCACTTGTTCCTGGGATCAGTGCTGCAGAAAAAGCTGGGGGGGGACACACAATAAAGAGAATATGAGGCTATCTGCCTCTGAGCTGTGGCCATGGGACTTCACCAGGGGCCAGCAGGGGTGACTGGGCTGTGACACGGCAGTGGAGCAAGCCAGTGGCTGGCTCATGCATTTCAGCAAAACCCATGACCTGGGGAGACTCTCTGTGAAGACATCTGGGGACAGCAGGCTTGCAAGGGGGAGGGACCGAGCAGCTCCACTCTGCAGGACACCGCAGCTTTGGGGTGCTGGCAGCTGCCGGCGGGGGTGCCCGAGGCAGTGGGACACAAGTAGGTTTCCACAGACGGAGCCACATTAATGGCTACAAAGGCAAAGATGCTCTCTGGAGCGCGGGGAGACCAGCTCCTCTGTCTCACCAGGGGGTGCCATTGCCATGGCAAATTTGCTCGCAGCGCTAACTCCTGTCAGGCACCATTAATCTCTCGCTGTCAACAGCTTATGATTTAAACGCTCTCCCCCTTTCCCCACCTGCTCCTTCAGCTCCATCCTGAACGCTTTGAAGTCTTTATCAGGAGCCGGGCGTGAGGGGGAGGGAGCCAGCAGTGCATGTGGCAGGAGCATGGGAGAAGCCTGTGATCAAGAGGGGGTGGGGAAGGGCTCAGGGACACATGGGCAGGGAGAAGGGATGATTGCAAGACTCACGGGCAGCTCCTCTCTCTGCAGAGCACTAGGGAACTGCCAGCTCTCGGCCACAACTGGCCATACTCTTTGCAAGCAAATATTCCCCTTGAAGCCCTCAAGTGTCCCCTATATCCATCACAACATGGCCTTGTGACTGTCTAGAACAAAGGACCAGCAGCCTCTGCCCCAGCTTCCTGCTCCTTTTACCTGCATTTGCAGGCCTTTCACCCACCTTTTTTCTTCTAGCTCTCTTTTGTCCCCTGAGATCAGTTCTTCTCTCCCCTGCCAGTCACACTTGGCCTGCTCTCCTCCTTTTCCCCAGGGCAGGTCAGATCCCCAGGGATGCTCCAGGTCTGGGCTGTCCCATAGCTGTGTCTGTGGCTCTGTCAGCAGCTGCTGCAGGTGGCCATCACGCTGTAGGACATACCAGACCTCCCAGGCTCCCAGCTCGACAGGCCCATCACACACTGGACCCTCTTGGGTGGGGGCATGGCAGCTGCTTTGCAGCGACAGGGCAAGAAACATTCTGTGGCCTCTGAAGCGGGTGCTGCTCCACTTGCCTTGAAATACTTGTCCAGGACTTCACTGTAGTTGCTGCCCTTGGAAAACCAGCCATCTGGGATAATCTCAGCTTCCAGCCACTGGATGACACGGCGACGGAGCTCATCTCTGTCCGATTGGTAGCAGACAACTGCCATAGGAGAAGGAGCAGTAGGAGAAAAGGCAAGGATGAGAGAAATAAAGTTGGCAGGAAGACCACAGAGGAAACAAAAACCAGCCAGACAGCCCTGAGAGCAGTTTGCAGGCCCCTTAGTCCTTGGAGATGTGCAACGGCCATATCAAAGCAGAGGCGGAGGTGCCATGTGCTGAGCAGCAGATGGGCTGTGGGTGACACCATGTGGCAAGGCCAGAAAACAACACTCCTCCCAAACCCATTCTGCCTTTCAGGTCCCAAAGCTTGTGGAAGAGCCATACGGGGCAGACTCATCTTGGTGTGAAGAGTCCCCAGACTGAGGGAGGAAGGTGACTGACAATGTCCCCAGGGTTCCCGATGCCATGCAGAACAGGCATTCAGCTGTTAGCCCTCAAGTACCAAAACTTCCATCTTCTGCAAGGGTGAAGACTAAACTGAGCAAGCCTTTCCACCATGCTCTCCCTAGGGGCCTAGCATCTCAGGGGCCTAGTATCTCAGATTTCATTTCTTCAAAGCCCTAACTTGCCCACCCTGATTGGAAATGAGAGAGGGTCAAGTTGGGATTGTTTGCAGTGCTCTCTAGAGTCACAAGTTCCTCTAGGTGGATATCATCTTGTGTGCTAATACTGAAGCATGTATTCCAAAGCAAAACTGAAAGCCTAGATCTTCTGGCTTCTCTAAGTTGTCCCACCTGCTCAGAGGCCAATGGAACCAGAAGGGGAATTAGTGTGCATTTGTGTCACTTACACACACTAAGGATCTCCTTCTGAATCCAGTGACTACAATCACAACCAGACCGACAGTTTCTGCATGTTTAATTTTCAACTTCCTTGAAACTGCTTTGAGGTGGTAGCCATGTCCAGAACATGGTCCTTTCCCTTAAGTTTGTACTTGGGTTTGCTCTCATCTGTCCTAGGAAGCTGAAGATGACAATTATACAGCTCCAGCAATTAGAGGCCACGGATGGGAAAAGGGTCCCCCGATGAAGCACAGGCCATGTCCCCAAAATCCTTAGTCTTAAGTACACAAGGCAGCGCATAAATGGAGAAACCAGGCACAGGGGATCAAAGAGATTTGTTGGCTCATGGGAGAGGTGGTTCAGCTACACCTCCTGACTCCCCCAGGCAATGCCCCATTCATTACCTAGTGCCGCCCCCGCACCCATCAGTTAATCACTCCTGAAGCAGTCTTGCATAGTCTCCTTTCAAAAGAGCACCCTCAGAGTTGAGGGCAACAGCTCCACAGTTATCGTGTCTTAGATCCTCAATGAACTACCCAAAAGAGTGTCTCTTCCTTCAGTCTGGGTGGTGAATGCAGCTTGTGTCCCTGGGAGCAAACTAGGTTTCATTGCACCTTGTACATGCTTAGAGTCCCTGAGACATGCCAGCATAGTGCAGAGCTCAGGAGATGTATGAGCTCTGAAAGGTTACCAAGGAGTAAAGAGCTGGGCAATCATATTTCTACTGATTTACCAACTCAGACTGCAACAGCCAGCGCAGAGGTATCACTTTTACACAGAGCTGTTCAATTCCCACAGCAGCCCTTCCTCCCCACATCTCTTCTCAGATACACACAGAGGCTTCAGCCATGCAAGGAGATGGCCTCTTACCTGGACTCGCAGCTGGATTCTCAGACTTCTTCTCTGTTGATGGAAAGACAGAAGAGGATATTTCTGACACAACATGAAGAAATACAAATCCCTTCCCACCCTGAGTGCCGCTTGGGCAAGAGCAGAGGAAGCTGGGAGCCTTTGGAAACACAAGGGCCACATGGATGACTAAGGGACTGGAACGTGTCACCTGAGGGGAGGCTGAGGACTCTTTCACCTGAAGAAGAGAAGGCTCAGGGGCGACATCATCAATATTTATGAATCTGATGGGAGGGAATGAAGAAGACTGAGCCAGATTCTTCTCCATATTGTCCACTGACAGGGCAAGAGGCAATAGGCACATATTTAAACACAGGAAATTCCACTTGAATGCTTTTTTACTGCAAGGCTGGCTGAACACTGGAACAAGCTGGCAAAAGAGGTTGTGGAGTCTCCATCCTTGGAGATACTCAAAACCCTGGACTAGACACAGTCATGGGCAACTTATTCTAGGTGACCGTGTTTGACCAAAGGGGTTGGACTAGATCCTGTGATTCTGAGTCACTTCTTAGCGACAGGTTACATGTGGTTCTGGCAGAGGTTTTTCTCAAGCAGCAAAGGAGGTCAGATAGTTTGGGCCTGTGCTATTTTTCCTTTGTCACCTGTTCAGTCTTGGAACAGTTCTTTTCACAGAGGTACCTCTCATTCAGGACCCCCAAAGCGTGGGGGTGAGTCAAACGGCCCCACCACTGAGGTGAAATCCTTGCTCCTAAAGTTCTTGAGGTCCCTTATGAACTTGGATAGTAGTATGGGCTTTGGGGGTTTATCCTGAGAGTCTGACCTTTCCTCAGCAGGTAGACCGAGAGGCAGGCAGGAGCAAATAGTTGCCCTGCTCTCCTAAGTGCCCTCCTCCTACCAAGCCAGGGAGACAACAGATCCAAGAACCCAAGACAGGCAAAGTGGTAGGGCCCTCAGTGCACTAACGAGGGCCTTAATTGGCCCTGCCAACCTCACCTAGGGCCTCCATTCACACTCTCTACCCAAGTCACGGGCGACAGGACGAGAGGAAATGGCCTCAAGTTATGCCAGGGGAGGTTCAGGCTGGATATTAGGAAAAATTTTTTCCCTGAAGGGGTTATCAGACATTGGAATGGGCTGCCCAGGGAGGTGGTTGAGGCACCATCCCTGGAGGTGTTCAAAAGACAGGTTGATGTAGTGCTGGGAGGTATGGTTTAGTGATGGTGATGCTTCTTGTTTGTTGTGCGGGTGTCTATTTTTGTCAGTTAAGTTGACGGTTGGACAAGATGATCTTTAAGGTCCCTTCCAACCTAGAAGATTCTGTGATTAGCCCACTTCAGCTGACGCCTCAGAACTTAGTCCTTCCTCACCTGGGATTATGTTGTAGGTATACCTGTCTCAAGCTCTGTTGCAACCATTCCTGTACTTGCCACAGATCCTGTCCATCTAGGCCCTGACCTAGTGAATGTCTTCCCACCTATATCTCAGACTGTTATAGACTGCATCACTACAGACTTGTCTGGCAATTACAGGCCTGTGTGTGACTCTGGTTACCATCACTGGACCTGATCCTGACTTGAATTCATGGCTAAACTTCAAGCCTACTTCATCCCCACAAACTTGCCTCGTGGATCTAGATTCTTGGTTGAACCTGGCTGTTGTTCCTCAGCTTGCCCTGTTAGCTCGCTCAGCAACTATGGGACAGGGTCCTGGCTGGTGAGACCTCTGCCTTGCCTCGTTATCACACGTGGCTCCCAGCTCCCCCCACCTTAGAGGCTAATCAGCCCTCAGCACTCCCTGACACAGGGTTACCTTTACAGTGGCCGTCGTAATCCACCTGGATCTTGGAGCCAGTGAGGCAGGCATCACGGTGCAGCTCACAGTGGTTCAGGTACGTCTTGCCATTGCTACCACACACTGGTCTCTTATGAGGTTTGCATTTCTGTGAGAGAGCCAGAGAAGACAGTATTTTACCTGCCTCTTTAGGACAGCTAGAGGGAAGTAGGTGAGTCCTAGCATCAGCCTGGTTCAACAGAAGCCCTCTTGGCCCAAGAGTGCTTGGAGCAGGCTGTGCTCACCCATCAGCATCCCAGAAAAACCTGCACAGAAAAGTGTGTGGGTTCAAAGGCTTCCCTTTATCCCAGCCTCTGTCACCACCACCACCATGACAGGAGCCTTCCTGAAAGCACAGGCCAGCACAGAAATCAGTGCCCAGCATAAATATTGAGTGTAATCCTGCAACTGCTGCTCTATATGCCATGGATGTGCCTGCCTGGAGGTGTTTCTACGACTCTCTTCTGTGCACCTCTGCTTGCTCAGCTCTGTTACATCTCTCTGTAGACTCTGCTGTACCTTTCTGCAACTGCAATGTAGAATAAGCCATCAGCCTCCAGCAAACAGCACAGCCTACAGCAGAGGGAGAGTCCACCAGTGCCACTCTCCAGGCTGCGGGCTTCTTTCTTGTGTCCCTTCCAATCTGGCCAAGCCTACCCAGAGTGACAGACTCTCTGCTAACAGGACGTTTCACTCTCCAGTGCCCAGGCTGGCCACGTGAGAGCCGCAGGCTCTGAGGGAAGTGGGAACAAAGAGCCACATGCCCATTCTCAGGAGCCAGGCAGGAACGGTTTGAAAGCAAAGGGCAGAGCAGAGTAAGGAGACACTGTGTCTCTACAGCTGGGAAAGGCTCTTCTAATCATTTCCGGCTCCCTGCTGGATGGAGCTATTCATCCTCACAGCACTCTACCACAATTACTTCCATTTTACAAAAGCTGATTTTTAGTAGGGTGCTTGTAACCTCCTCAAACAAGATGCCAGTGAGGGCAGGCTGTCTTGGAGCTTGCAGACCATTCCCTATAGTGCCCTCCAAAGCCAGCTGCCTATCAATACCCTACTGGGCTTTCACAACAGAAGACCTCCAGCCAAGTCTCCTGTGCATGTAAAGACCCTAGGCAGCTGTGCGAGTAGCACAGCTGCAAGCCCCACACAATATCTACCCCGTAGGGCTCTTCCCCCACACCACACTGGGAAAGGCCCTGCTGTTTGAAGAGCCACTGTGAAGTTGCAGCTGCTCCGAAACAGTTGTAGCCTCATCCCATCATGGGATCCTTCCAACAACCAAAGCCAAGGGGGCTATTGGCAATGTCCATCACAGAGGCAGCAGCTGTGCCACCCTCCTACCTCAATGCAGAGGCAAGTTGGCTCTCCCTTCTCTGTCACCGCACACTCCCGCCCGGCTCCACAGAAAACATTGGCACAGATCTTGGATTTGCTCCTCGGCTCTTCCTGCAAGATACAAAGTAAAAGACACAAAATGCAGTTACTCAGAAGAGCAGAACGGTAGCTTTAAAAAAATAACACATTTAACTTCTAGACCAGACCAAGAGCACCAAGGCAGTGAGGCACAGATCACGGAACAAGAGAGACATGACTGCAATAGATGAGACAGCTCAGACGATAACCAGCAGCAGACACAAGAGCTAGGGCTACAGCCCCAGCAATAGAGGGCTTCCTTGAGGTCATCCCTGGAAAATCACCTAGGAGAACTGGAGCAAACATGAGCAAGAGAAAGTCTAGCACAACTGGCAAGAATAATTTGCTCATGCCAAGGACTGCTGTCTTCAAAATTTTTTTCGTAGAGGGTAGGGTGCACAAATGTCTGCTTGAGATGTTTAAGAAGTTGAACATAACCCTGGAGAAAGGTGAGATACCAAACAGGCAGAAGAAATCGCCATCAGGCACCAGATAATGCCCCTGTCACAAAAAAAACTTCAAAAAACTACGTGACCCATTATCTTGCCTTCGCTGGTCAAGATTAAACACTTCAAAGGAAGAGACACTGTCATAGATAATTATACAGTAACCTTCTCACAAAGAAAATTTCTTCCTGGTCCCTGACAGCCAGCAGTTGACTTATGCCCTGCAGCACAATTTATACACTTTACAGTTTTTTTCCTAGCCAAAGTCATCACAAGTATTCTTGTTGTTCACGTAACTGTCAAACCCTTTTTTTTTTTTTGAGTCCCACTGTGTTCTTCTCAAACTGCTGACATCTAGCAGGGAAGATTTCCACAGGTTAATTATGTTTTCAATAAAGCCACAATTTACTTTTATCAGTTTAATGTCTTTTTTTCTTTACATTTTTAAAAGAGAAGACTTTTCCAGGGATTCAGACTTTGGAGACCCTGGTTTAATTCTCTGCTTTGTCATTACTTTCCTTCGTGACTCATTTCATCCAACATTTTCCACCTGGAAGTAAAGTATTTGGTTCAGGCCAAACAACTGGCTTTCTCAACAGTTTTATATCAGAGACAGAAAACTGAGGAATGTAAAATAGTCAGCGGGATAGGTAAATCACATCAGCTGTGATTTACCTTCTCTCTAGTACACAAGGGCTTTTTTACCCTCTCATCTGAATATTATTCTTAACCTCTGCTCATTTGTGGTATATTTGTACCCCCACCATATACTTTTGAAAGTAGGTGATCAAAAAGTGGCAGAATTTGACTGAGGAGCAAGCATTATTGATACATTTAGTAACGAATGCTGAGCGCACATTTTTTTTCTCCTATTGCTTCTTTATCATGTGCTTTTTTTTTTTTGTCTTGCTTTTAAATCACAATTTCACAGTGAGTTGTCTTTACTGAACAGCCCATAGTGACAGCCAGTTCATTTTATGAATGACTTTGCCCTGGTCTTCAGAGTGTTTTGTCTGCTGGCCTACTGCACAGTCATCAAGCCCAAGAAGGTCTTTTCAAAGCACTGCAGGATTCCCTCCAGGTTTGCATAGGGACAAACACCTTTCTTACTCTTTGCAAATGTTCCTATCTTGCTGCTTACCCTGTAAAATAAAAATATAGTACTCGGACACACCAGTCTTAGCTCAGAAACACACACCATGTCCCAGGCCTGCTCACCCCATGAAGACAGTTTGTTATCCTCCCTCTGCCCCTTCGTTCTCCTTTCACATATGGCTCCTGAGCTATGAAAGACACTCTGCCCCTTCTGCTGCATCCACCTCTTCTTAGCTGTCTTCTGGTGGAGGGCTGGGGTAAACAATCTAGGCGCTTTTGGGGTGGGATGGAGAAAGACAAGTGCTTCACCGCACAAAGCAACCTCACACAACTTTAGGCTGAGAAGGAAGAATAACTCATTTTGCAGAAAGGACAAAGGAAAAACAAATTCTCCCAGGTTGGAGTCTGGCTTGGGCTTACCCAAAATGCACTGTAGGCACCTAAGAGATGATGTATTTAAACGGTTTCAAACAACATGCCCACCCCCTCACCGACCCAAAAACCAGGAAAAAATAGAGCTAGACACAGCTTTGAAATGCCCCCACCAAGGTCTGTAGTCCAGGTGCCTGGCAATAGATGGCAGTACTCTGCCTCTCCTCACCCATGGCCTGCCAGGACTGCCAGCAGCAAGCTCCGGGCTGTGCCCACCCATGCCAAACCTGGCTCTGGCCTCCTGGGCTGAGATGGCATTGCAAGACTCCTCTCCCCTCGCCAGCTCGCTGGAAACCAGGCCCGCAATGCGACTGTCCTGGCTCCAGCTCCCTCCCCTGCAGTGCCTGAGTCCAGGAGCCATCCCGCAGCTCTCCCACCGGGACCCAGGGAGGGGATGCTGGCAGGGTGACACTGCCAGAACAGCCTCTGAGGACAACCTGCCTCCTGCCAGGCTAGAGAGCCACGTTGTTCTCATTTTTCTTAATAATCAAAGCAAGATGGTTTGGTGGTTGCTTCTTTGTTGTTGTTTTAAGCTGTTCGAGGCTGGCAGTGGGTCAGAGCTGGTTGCCATGTCCCGGCACGGCTGCCTCCACCCCAGGGATTTGCTAGAGAAAGAAAGGAATCGAGCTGCTCTGCTGGCCTGTCTGCCTTCTCACTCTGGCACAGGGTTTCTCAGCCTCAGCTTGCTCATCCTCCCTCCCACCAGCAGCAGCCATGGCAGGAGCTACCAGGCTGGGTGCTTGCTCCACCTTTAGTGAAAGCACCTCTCAGCTTCCACCCCAGATCCCTCAGCTCCCTGTGTCCCCCATCCTTGCAACGTTCACCCCACAAACCACACTTTGTCCATCTACAACCTACAAACCATAGCTCCTCCTACTCATATGCTCCCCTTCCCAAAATCCCTGAAGGCCCTCAACTCCTTCCTCGGCCAGGCATCACCTCTCCTATCTAACATCTACCCCACCCCTGCACTGGCAGATCCTGCCTTCAGCTCCTGCAAGAGCCAGAAGACACTTTCCTCTGCCAGCCTGCATACAGATTAAGTTAGCAATTGCCACCACCACAGCCTGGTATGCCCTCACAGCAATAAGGTGCTTCACAATACCATAGAGTGGGAGTTCTCTCTAGCAGCTCCTGGCCACCTTTCTGGCAAATACCTGAGTCTTCTGTGTGTAATTGTGAGTGTGGCAGAGGATGAATAGACTGGTACAGTGCGAATGAGGCTTTATAACCTTCACTCATGATTCTCTGCCGCCCTCCCAGATGCCACGAGCCAAACTAGTTTCTTGTGATAGATATTCTGATCTTACCTTGGACCTTGTCATGTTTGCTCTTTACAAAGCTCCATCTGCTGGAGTCACATGAGTAAGCAGGGATGGCAGCTGCCACTTCAATATTAAAGAGCTTGTCCTCACACCTACCACGTAAAAGCTTGAAAGTATGAGCTGCAAAGGTTTAAATTCAAGGTCACACACACAAAAAGACTCCACGGTGTTTCAATGCTGTTGCTCTTAAATTAATTTCGGGATTTGGGGGCTGGAATCGTGGTTGCTACACTGCTTCCTCCCTGTGAGCTGCCACTGCCTTTTCTGTCACGGTGGGCTGGGGCAGTGTCACTCACCCTGTGCACTGCGCACCCGGGCAGGCGGAAGGGAAAGGGCAGAGAGTCGTTATTAATTGCTGTGCGGTGGCATTTACACCACAAGCCGTGACAAGTTCCTCAATTCTGCCTCGGGTGAGGTGCCTGAGCTCCCTCTGTTTGGGCAATGATTTTAATTACCCCTCTGCTGCCCAGAGCGGGAAGGTGTAAAGGCAGTGAGCACAAAGCCAGGGCAGGAGTGCCTGGAGCATCTGCCATGGCACGGGGGCACTCCTGGCTCCTCACCTCCACAAGGGCACAACCTCCCCAGACACCTTCTTGGGCAAAGACCATGGAGAAAGGTGTTCACCGTGGCTCATGGGCCAGAAACTCGGGGCAACCAGGCAGCATCAGCTTTGTGTACACGTAGCTTGGCCTGTCGAACGGGGACAGGAACACACACCACTTTCGGGGAGCCAGGAGGCGTAATCCCATGGATGAGGAGTTCTTGCACGCAAACAGGCAAGTGCCAAGCAGAAGACCTGAGCTGACAGCGCAGCGAGCCTGTTGCTCAGGCTGTTGCTTCCTGGGGAGCAAGGAGAAGAAAAAGAGACATTTCCAAGGCACCCGAGGGTGAGAAAGCTGGCGGCATAGCCGGCGGTGAGGGATCGCCATGGCAACCGGCAACGGGAGGCCTCAAGGTGGAGAGCTAAAATTAGGAAGGGCTGTTTCTCATCTCTAGCAGCAACCGGCGCCGAGGAGCTGGACCCCCAACCCAGCGTAAGCGCAGATGTCGGGAGCATTTCCGAGCCCCTGCCTGAGCCCGGATGTCCGGGACCCCGGTGTGGCTGGACGTGCCAACACACGGTGCCACGAGCGGGTCTGCACAGGAGGTCCCACGCTCCTGCCAGCTGCCGTGCCTGGACCCTGCTGGTGGGACGGCAGGAAAACACCCCGGTGTCTGCAAAACACGGAGACTTCCCCAACTAGCCTGTGAAAGCCTGAAACCAGTAACAGTTCAGGGACAGGACACCTCTGTAAGGAAGAATCAGCTTCCACCTGCAGAGAAGAGCTGTGCAAGTAGCTGCACGTCCATGGTGCCCCACTGCCCGAAGGCAGGAGCAGGGATCTCTGCCATCATGCAGGCTCTGGGAAACGAGCAGGGAGACCACCCTGCGACAAGGTGGGGAGTTAACGTGCCTGAAAAGAACCCCTCGGATCGCTTTTTGCTTTCTGCACATCCTTCCAGACAAAATCTCCTCTTGGAGAGCTCAAAAGTCTTTTTCTCAGCAGCCCACGCTCCACTGGAGAAATACTACCTGCCGTCCTGCTCCTACTGACACAAGTAAAAAGCTTTTCTGCTATCAGCAGCGACTGTAGGTCTTTTACCTCTTTTGGCATCGGTTTATGGAAATCCATATAATGACTACATCCCTCACATAATGCTCTGTGCTGTTTGCTGTAAAATCAGGGCTTCGTAT